GACAGCTTTGATTAGAGAAAAGACATTGACTAATTTTAATGCTAATTGGAAGCCCCTTTTGAACTTTTTGCAGGAAACAGAAAAAAATGAAATTATGATATATAGATTTGATGATTAATAAAATTAATAGATTATAGAAAATATGAATGTTAAGTTGTAATCCTAGAGTAAGAGTTTAATGTATGTTTTACTTATAACTGCTGTAAAAGAAGTTGGAAGTCATTTTTTTTTTGTATTTGTTTCTTTTTCTTCTTTAACTTTCTGCACTTCTTTCTCTTTATTTTTTCTTTTCTTCTACTCTTTTTCTTAATTATTAGTTCATATTAGTTTTTATCTTTCTGTTTTTAAAATTGAATAAAGTTATTATAAAAAAAGAGCTTCCTGTTTTCAAGGTTCCACTTAAGAGCAGTCTAACAAATCTCCATGACAGTTCAACTTGGTGTGCAGTGTACTTCACTTTTAATCATGCTCTAGCTGGCATTGGCTGTATCTAGTCCTTGCTATGAAGCATGACTTGGAAAATGAATGGTGCCTTGCCCTGTGATTTGTGCCTACTAATAACAATAGTATTCCCTTTGAACTCAGCCTGAATGTATGATTAAGGTACAGTATAGATTTCTTTCAAAAGAACGCTTTTATTTTTACCTCCCTTTTGGGAAAATCCTGTTTTATATGATGATGGAGACAATTCATCTTTCTTCTCTTGATTCTCGGCACCTGCCAATTAAATAGAGATCAGAAAACTACTTGGTTTGATATTTGACACGTAAGCAGCAAGGTTCCAAAAATATTCCTAATTTATCACCCCTTATGGACTTTTTGCTGAAACAAGAAAAAATGAACTTGTGATTTATGGATTTGATGATTAGAAAAGGTAGACTATTGAAAGAAGGAAACTATGTTGTAACCTTAGAGAGAGAGGGGGTAAAATATAAATGTACTTGTAACTGCTGTTAAGAAGATTGGAAGCTGCTTTTTTAAATCTTCCCTTCCCTTACCTTCCCTTCCCTACCCTTCCCTTCCCTTCCCTTCCCTTCCCTTCCCTTCCCTTCCCTTCCCTTCCCTTCCCCTTCTCTATTTCTTTCTTTGCACTTTTTTCACTTACTTATTACTTTACTTTCCTTACTTTTTTCTTTCAAAATTTGTATTGTTTTCATTCTTTTAAAAATTTCCTCAATAAAAATTATATAGAGAGATATTCCTAATTTATCACTATAAGAATAAATAGTATAATCCCTAAAACTGTTTCTTTATTTCAAAGTAGAATATATGGAGAGCAGGCCTTTGAGCACAGCACTGATGACTGAGAATTCTCTGTTCCTAATACATGGGCACACATACACACATACAAGTGGAAAATACTTCTGCAGTTAAATGCTATAAAATATTCACATGTTGAAAAGGCAAAGCTGAGTGTAACAGCTATTTCTTGGTTCTGCCCACTGCCTGGATTGGGTTCTCCATTGTAAACAAGCAGTGATGCCTACCTTATCCAGACAGAGGAAAATATAACTGCTGCATGGAACACACTGAGTAGAGAGGATTGAACCAGACTACTTTGAATGGTCTCTCTTCAGCTTTGTGGTCTTGCAAATCCACTTCTGGATTCATTTGTTATTTACTTCTCTTTACATCTTCCTTATTTATTTGCTCCTGCCCTGATATTTGAGCTTTCTGCAAAAGTGACTATACTTATGTATAGTCCTCTGAGAACCTGTAAGAGTCTACCTGGGCAGTTTTCAAGGATAGTATTTAGACTGGGAAATGCAGTTGCTGTACCAGCACCATCAAATTAATACTTACCTTCCTGGTAGGATGCTTCCAATTTTTTCAGTGTTTCAGAAACAAGGATCACGGCAGCTTCATTCAATGAATTCTCCTTGATGTTCTTAGCTTTATATACCTGTGTATCTAATTTTTGAAGCATGCCATCTACTGCATACCGGTGATAAGGAATGAAATCTCCTTCCCCACAACACTTGCATCGGTGAGCTAGCCACTTCAGGTAACTGGCACATTTGAGATGCAAGGCTTTTTTCTGGTTCTTAAGCCATAGCTCATAGGCTGCTTCTTGTAATAGTGGTGTGCAGAACTCCATGATTTTGCAATGCATCACAGCCTCCTCTTGCTTAAGCCTATTGGAAATAACTAATCCAAGATCTGAAAAATAAGGTGAGTCTTGGTCTTAGTCTCTGCACAATCAAAGAATGCAATCCCCCTGCATAAACCTACTGCTATGCAGGAATAGCTAAAGCTCTATTTCTGGGTAGATTTAAGAACATGGGTACAGCAGCTAATTTTCTCATGATACTAAAACTAGAGGTTTCTAGTTTTCCAGGAACCTGCCTACCTGATCTTTGCCCCATTGATTTCAATTCATTATTGCTGACGCTGAACTCTTTGGATAACTGGGTAACATTCACTTCTTTTCTTTCACTAGAACACTTAAAGATATGGGATTCCACCAGTGCTGCCAGAGTCTGATACATCTTCCTTTTTGTCCATTCTGGGAGGATATAAAGCAGCATCTCTGTAGTGAATGTCACACCAATGACAGCTGCACATTTCACCACCATCTGCTCTGAAGGATTCATATTGTCTAACTCAGCCAGAGCAATTCCTAATCACAAAGAAAGTCAAATCAAGTTGTGAAAGAAGTAGTACAGTGTCTGAATTGGCCACAGTTTCCAAATTTTATATCTAAAACTTTAAAAACAACATCTAGGAATAGTACAATTATATAGACAGTTGCAGAGATACACAATTTGGAACTGGAAGAAAGAGAATATTATTTAAAAGATAGACTCTACACTCTGTACAAGGAAATTGCTGGAAAGTTACTAGAAAGGAAATTCCCAGAACAGGGATGTCTGGAGGGAAGGGTAGTCTAAAAATTATCTATCTATCTATCTATCTATCTATCTATCTATCTATCTATCTATCCATCCATCCATCCATCCATCCATCCATCCATCCATCCATCCATCCATCCATCCATCCATCCATC